GGGAAGTCGTTATGCAGGTCATCCGACATGATTTCCGAGTCACAGAATCCCTCCAGGGCGGAACGTAGCCCTTCAGCTCTCTTTTCTCGCTCGATCTCACCCTAACCGCTCAGTAAGGTATTGTAAACTAGGTATATGGGTTTTGGGATGAATAAATCGCCCAGGTAATGCAAAACCTCCAATCCAAGCGTCCAAACATTCTGGAGGCGTGGCAGCTCGAGAATCATAGATCCCAGTGAAAAGTGATGCTGCAGACTTACCGAGGGAAACGATCATCTAGCCTCGAGCAGTTTACGACACCGCCCGCCATTTAACCGCTACCGCCCATCCTCTTGGCTTCTGATCTGTCGTTCAAACCGACCTGATTTCCTCTCCGATAAACTTTTGACTGCTCCGTCCTGGACCTTCGAGTTCGCGCAGTGTGCGGTCGCATGGCTTGAGTAGTCGCGCGCCTCCGCCTCTGGCTGTCATTTCCGGATAAAGTCCTTGTTTTCAAGGGTGAGAGGCCATGCATGTAATGTGTTAGACAAGCTCTAGGGCTCGCGAGATCTGAGAGCTGTCATGACCTCCATCGCACAACGCTGGTCTATTCTTCCCCCCTCAGAAGATGCTCAATTTCAGACTGTGCAGCGATTGTGTCAGACTTTGTAGAAAATCGAAATTCCGAGAACGGGCAAGAGTAATCGATATACTCATCCACCGTAACCGCCGAATTTACCGGAGATGGATCCTCTAAAGGAGGCAGTCGGCACGATCCCACGGGAACCTACGGTCACGTCACCGGAATCGCCCAGCTTCTCAGTCTCACTCGGAGCTCGGTGCCGCAATCGTCTGAAAAACTCGAGTCTGTCTAGAATATCGAGTTTGAGAAATGAGGATGAGAGCCCTCACGCTGAAAGGAGTGGGCTGCAAGAGTGCTCGTCTCCATCTCCAGCCGATCTGAAAACGACATCGGGAGCATCTCTGGATGCCGAGAATTCTCCCTACCCTGCAGCGAAGTGACAGCAGTACGTTCGATAGTACTCAGCCTCTCTGTGGTAATGAAAAGACGGCGGCTTGCAGAAGGAATCTCCCGTTCCTATTCTTCTCTCTTCCAGCTAGACAGAAGACAATGTCGGAACAAGATCGCGAAAGAGTTCCAGTCTCTGCTTTCTCATCCTCCCTATCAGGTTCGTTCTGCCTCGTTATTAGGTACTTTCTTGTGGCCATACGCTTTCGAGAGCAGACATCAAGTGCTATTGTTGAGAGCACCTCCCTTTCCAGAGACGGGGCTCGCGAATCCATCCAAGGCACGAGCGGGGAAGAAGTTGCATGATAATTGGAGCCCGTTCGCGCAGCAGCTGACAACCATCACTCGCGGTTTCAGCGGTTCGAGCGAGAGTTGCCTGCGTCGATCTCAATCCGGTTATCTTCCCGAACAGCAAGCATCGCCCGCTACCGTCTCTCACGTCCGAACGCTTGGTCTGCAGTCCGACCAAAGGTGCAAAGCCTTGGCTTAGAGGCAGAGAGCATCTCGGAAATTCTCCTTCCACTCACAGAACCTGTATCCGAGGGAATAAATCTTTCCCCGGAAAGCCTCTCGTCGTATTCGTGGCACAACACGCACCAAATTGAGATTTAGGAGGAAGCTCGAGAAGACCTGGGGAAGAAAAACGGAGGGCGACCTGAGGAAAAAATAGAAAATAGCGGAGAGGCGGTTCGCCGAGGAGGGAGTCTAAACTGGACGAACAGACCAGGGTCACTCACTGAGAAATCCCGCATATATCAATCAGGATCCAGCGCTGAGCTCCGAGATGGTGTCTTGAAAACTTTCTCCCGCCCGCCTCCGCCGCCGAAATAATTTCCGAGCTTGGAAATCAGTGGTCGTTGGGGCAGGAATTCTCACGCGGCGTGCTCATGGAAACATGGCTGTCGAGCTCCAGTCTCGGCTCGAGCCTCGAACAGACGATTCCGACACAAGCGGGAAGAATTATTTACTGTCCGGAAGTAAAAGCCGTGCCCACAAAGAGAATTGTCTATTGGAAATCAGGGTCATGAATCATCTCACCGACAAGGCTATCCCCACATGGGATTCTCTACTTCCCTACTCTTCGCGTAAGTCCACAGGAATCCTCTCCGGGTCGAATCGACTGGAGACGAATCTGTCGCCTGTAAGCAAGTATTATAGGACCTTTGATCGCGGATCGTGTCTGGCTATGCCTTCGGACCTCGGACCTGTTTAGAATCAGGAGGTACGCGAGCAGAATACATGAATGGAGTGGAGAGAGGTCCACAGCCTCCCTCCGCTTATTACCGACGTCTTCATAATCACAGGGCAGGATAGGTCAAGCGGCGTCTCAGGTTGTCAAGTTTGCTGTTCACCCTTGCGGTCTTTCGAAGTATCACATATATGTACCCGAGGATGGCATCGCGTGCCGAGATCTCGGACTTTGATTCGGACACGGTTCTTTCCGCTGGATACGGGACCGATCTCGATGATGATGATTACATTCCCCCCCCACCGACCCACGCATGTCATCTCGCCTGAGGGAAGTGGTTCCTCGTCACCTTTCTTGCATCCGTTCCCAATTCGTGATGGCTAGAACAGGTCTCTCAAATCAGAAGGTATTGTCCATGCATCTTGCAGAAACAGGCCGGAATCAAACAGTTTCCGGAAAGTTATCTCCGCTCCGAGCTCCCGCACCTATTTACCGCAAGGAGACGATCACGTGGGCACAAACAGCTCGAAGAGGCAAGATATGTTAGCAGATTCAATATTGCGACTGAGAGCCATCCTTAGCAAGCGTTCCTCCGCGTGGCTTTCTGAGTCAACCACGGCCGTCGGTGGCGAAGCTGTCGCTTCTCCCACCAGCCTTCCGAAGCAACTCATCCAGCCTGTCTAAAGTGTTCCTACCTCTCGTTCACGTGTCTCTTGCTCTAGCGCTAACAGCCGTGACTATCGGAGAACACAACTCGAGCGCAAAGTGGCCCTACGTTGCCGCTTCCGAAGAGATCACGACACTGATTCAGACATGACAATCTCGCCGATCACTATTCTCGGAACGAGGTGCGACCGTGTCATTCAGATTCTCTATCGACCTCGAGCTCGACTCAAGTTCGTGCCGGGCATCGATTGTCTACTCTACGGGTTCCAAAATGCCACAACGGAGCCCCAAGCGCCCTGATCTCAAGTGTTTTTTCATTCCCATAGTTCCGAGCTCCGTCTTGGAATCTCCCGGCATGCGAATATCGTAATGATTATTTTGGAAGGTTCTGGCTGGGGGAGCGAGGACATATCAGAACGATGTTCTTACCAGCGAATGGGAAGACCCCGCGGCGGGCAACTTGGAGGCATGCAATGCGGATGCCAGTTGAGCTGTCGCGAGGAATCCATCAGGATGTAGACGAGTTTCTGTTCCGGAGACTTGTCGCGGACGACTCAGTCGCCATCAGACTTTGACCGTCTGAAACAGATTCCGCTACAGTCGCCTTTCTTCTCAGAAAGAGAAACTCGGTCAAAGTTTTCATCAACTCAAGTCGGATCAGGTGCCGCTCTGTCCCCTGCGATCCTCCAGGAATCAAAGAGCAGTCATCGTCGTAGCTGTGTATTGCCGGTGGAGAGTTTCGGCTCACCGAGGGAAGTCTGCATTAACATCCCAGAACTTCTCATCGAATTGCCCCGTTCAATCTTCTATCCCGAAGATTCTGAGGAGACCCTGACCCCATACTTTCCCCGGATCGAATCGTTCTTGAGCCGTCCTGCGGTCAATGCCCATCGAGCTCCTTCTCCGCGGGAGGAGATTCCTCCGATCGAAGAAAATTAAACGGTCGCTTCTCTGACGATTCTCGATGAGCTCGTTGTGTTAGCGGTGCGCAGGCTTTCGAATCGAAGCAGAAGCGCGACTCCATCAAAGTTCCACCGGTCGCGCTATTTGAATATGCTAATGAGACTAAGCGGAAGGGTCTTCGATGGAAGTAAACAAACTCCTTTCCGAAAAAGATCGCAGCATTCTCGATTCCCAGGCGCGCACCGCGAGCAATTCATCGATGAGCATCAGCCGTCAATTTACTCCACAAGCTACGTGATGAAGCGTCAGCAAGGAGTCTGCCGAGAATTGAATTGAAATATCCGATTCAGAAAGTCAGCCAAGTCTGAGGAGGCTCTATCCGAGTTCCGCTGATCGACTTCTGTTGAGCGCGGAGAAGAGCCCAGTGTCAACAGAAAACGGGAAAGTATCTTTCTCAACCTGAGAGCAAATCGCTCATCCTGCCTCTGTAAATCAGTTTTTCAAAACTAACGAGCCCCGAACAAGAGGCCAAGCTTCTGCCATCAAATACGGTCCACCTGCTTGGGTTCCTCTCCCCTTCCCAGCGTCCTCCACCTGCATGTCAAATGTATCAAAAGCAATCGAGAAACATGATGTATCGAGAAAAATACGAGAGGGAGAGAAATAGCGCTCTCGGAGTGCTCCGAGGAGAAGCGAGGGACTGCAGTCTTCCCTCAGGAGCACTGCTCAGAATCCAACCGGGAACCTCGAAATGAGTTACGTATGTTTATTGACGCGCTCTTAGTTCTCTCCGCCATTCCTGATCACTGATCACTATCTCGCTCGGAGCAAGTAGTGGCAATGCGCGGCTTGATGCGCTGGGCAGAACAGCGAGATAGGTAGGAGGGTCCTGAGTTGGCTGGAAGGACGTAGAAATATGTTCTCAGCGTCTGACTTCTTCGGCGGATCTTCTGCGGACCATCGATTGCGTACGACGAAAGTTCCGTCTTCGGGGCTTTCTGCAGACTCAGCGCAACAGGCGAGAGCGCAGCAGTATTCGGCGCCAATTTTCGAAAGACTTCCGCTCATGGGAGAGACAGTCGCAGCTGTTCGACAAACAATAACACAGCGGACGCAACGCCGCGCCGGTACAGAGCAGACGCTACGCGTGTTTGTGCATTTCGTGTGAAGAACCGCTCAAATAAGAGTCTTCACGGAAATAAGTTTCAGTTGTCCATCGAGGTCACCTCAAGCATGAGTGACTACGCGGTGACCACGCTGGAACAGGTTGATAAGTTGAAGGTAGTCGAGTTGAAGGCACAGCTCAGTCGATTGGGCCTGTCAACGTCGGGTGAGTCCGCCGGTTGATTTCGTTATAGGGAAGATAATACCCTCGAATGCTCTCGCATCTCACTCCAGTCTCTCTTTTCCCCTAGGGCTCAAAGCCGATCTCGCTCAACGACTGAGGAATCACCTCATTGCCCAGGTGAGTTGAGAAGTCGTGTTCGATAACAACATAGCGTGACTCCTATACGACGGAAGTGACTTGGGAACTCACTCGGTGGAGGGGAGGGGATGCCCCTTGAAAGACCTCGACGCAGCGCGGATCTCTGGCAGAGGATCCCGTTCGACTCGCGACCTCTTTCTTGGAAATCCTCGCCCGCCGGAGTGAGAGCGTGACTCTTGTAGAGTTCTTCCTCAGACAAGGAATTCGCTTCCAGATCGACAATGAGCCTTCAGAGGGTTCGGACGAAACAGTGGAGGATGCGCCTGAGGCTCCCGAAGCCGCCGAGTCATCCACTGATTCGAGCGAAGCACCCGACGAAGACAGCGCACCAGGTCAGTCCTTCCCGATCGACGCCAAAGACGATCCTCCCTCGCCGGGAGAGCCGGAGCCCCCTGCGGCCAGCGATAAGAGCACTTCACCTTCGAACGACGAAGGCTCCAACGAACCCATGGAAGGCGTAGAGGTCGATAGCCAGCCATCGTATGACGACACACGTTCCCGAGAAGAGGTGCAACCTCCTCCGGTGGACGAGGAAACCGTCGACAGCCCTCCTCGGGAGATGTCAGCAGCCCAGGAAGCGGCTCAGAGCCCTGCGCCGCAGTCCGAGCATAGTTCCGACCAGCGTCCGTCAGCCAGTCCTGATCAGCAGGTTTCACAGAGCTCAGACCCGCGAGCCTCACGCAGCCCCGAGCGACAAGCACCCCAGGCCCATGAATTGGAAGCCTCTCAGAGTCCCGAGCAAGACGGTTCCTACCAAGAGGCTTCCCGCAGCCCGGATCGAGATGCATCTCGGACCTCGTATCAGGAACAATCGCAGAGCCCTTGCCGGGAAGCTTCGCAAGAGTCCTTCCCGGGAACCTCCCGGAGTCCGGATCGAGACGAGTCCCGCAGTCCTGCCAGGGAGGCGGCGGAGAGTCAAAGCTCAGCGACGGAGAGTCCACCCTATCAGGAGGGCCAGCCGGCGTCGAACGATGCCTCGACCGAGGATGATTCACGTAGTAAAATTAGCTCCATGGACGATATAATTCGAAAAAATCTAGACTTGTTGGAGAAAGCCGAGAAAAACGCGGCCAGAGCGAATACAGATGCCAAGGTCCAGAAGATTCTCAGCGAAAAAGGAATAAATCTCCTCGCGAAACAGCCTGGAGAAACGAAGAATCAGAAGAAGAAGAGGAGGAAGAAAACTAGGAAGATCATGAAGAAGCTCAATAAGGTGAGTCCTCCGATCGGTGGAGGTTATCGTACTTTCCACCGCATTTTCCATATTTTTGCTCTGTACGTGATATCCCTCCCATCGAATTACATCTCCGGTACTCCTTCGTAGGAACCCGGCAGCGACGGAGAAATCGCTCGTGACAGTGACCGAACGACCGATGTCGAGATCGAGTATGTGCCGGACGAGGTGGAAAAAGACATCTCATGGTTCCAGTTCAGCAAGGTTTTCGAAAAGTTCCGCTTCGAAGAGCCTGCAGGAAACGAAGGAGTCGAACCGAAAGTCGAAGTGCCTCAGGTCACCGATAGACTTCTCGAACGGAAGAAACCAGCTGATCTCAGTGAAGACGAAGACGAAGAGGAGAAGAAGGACGATGGCAGCACACCCAAACTGAGTAAAAAGAAGCTCAAACAGCTCACCAGAATGTCCGTGGCCGAACTCAAGATCAAGGTTCATCATCCAGAGCTTGTCGAAATGCACGACGTCACGACGAAGGACCCCGTATTCCTGCTTACGTTGAAAGCGACAAGGAACTCCGTGCCTGTTCCGCGACATTGGTGTTTCAAAAGAAAGTATCTACAGGGCAAACGGGGTATTGAGAAGCCCCCATTTGATCTACCCGGTTTCATCAAACGCACCGGCATCTGTGAGATGAGGGCCGCGCTCCAGGAGAAAGAGGAAGCGAAAACTCTCAAGTCGAAGCAGAGAGAGAAGATCCGGCCGAAGATGGGAAAAATCGACATCGACTATCAGAAGTTGCACGATGCCTTCTTCAAGTGGCAAACGAAACCGAAATTGGCCATGCACGGGGACCTCTACTACGAGGGCAAAGAGTTCGAAACGCGCTTGAAAGAGAAAAAACCCGGAGATCTCTCAGACGACCTCCGAACGGCGCTCGGCATGCCAACCGGTCCGAACGCGGCCAAGTGTCCACCGCCGTGGCTCATTGCTATGCAGAGATACGGTCCGCCGCCATCTTACCCTAATTTGAAGATACCAGGTGAGTGACTCGCTTCCGCTCCGATCTGGGGTCCCCGAGCTGTAGACTACGGGATTTCATTATCATTCGTCAACCGATCCAGTCTCGACTTCTGCCCGTCTCTATCACAATTCTAGGATAATTCGTGGAAGAATATTCATTTATTAAATAAATTTCAGGTCTGAACGCGCCGATTCCGGAGGGATGCTCTTTCGGATACCATGCAGGAGGGTGGGGTAAGCCCCCCGTCGACGAAACAGGCAAACCGCTCTACGGTGACGTGTTCGGGCTCTCAGCCCAGGAGAGCGGCGTATCACAGGTCGAACAGGACATCGACAAGCTCTATGTCTTCGGAGCGATGGAAGAAGAGGAATCTGAAGAGGAGTCCGAGGAAGAAGAAGAGGAGGAGGATGAGAGCGACGCCGAAGAGCCCGATGAAACAGGGCTCGTCACACCAGCCGAAGGCCTCGCTACGCCCTCCGGTCTGCAGAGCTCCGTCAGTCAAGCAGCGGAGATCTCGGACTCGATCGAGCTCCGGAAAAGAAAAATCGAGGCAGAGATGGAGATGGGCGATCAAGTTCCTCAATTGTATCAAGTTTTGCATGAGAAGAAAACTGATCGAATCGGTCATGCTATGATGGGTTCCGCGCACACGTACGACTTACCCAGTCAGCCGGCGTCGAATAAGAAAGGAGTCGAGTTGGCTCTGGATCCTAGCGAACTTGAAATGGATCCAGGAGCCATGGCAGCCAGATACGAACAGACGGTCAGGGAGCAACAGAGCCAGTTGGCGAAAGAAGACTTTTCCGACATGGTCGCGGAACATGCGGCGAAACAAAAGAACAAGAGGAAAGCCCGAGAAGAAGCGGGTGCGGGCGGCAAAAAGAAGTATAAGGAATTCAAATTCTGAGTTTTTTTCCCGTGAGAATCCTCTATATAACCCGATGAATGTACATAATAAATTCGAAAAGGCTTCGTGTTCCACGCTTGATACCTTATTCTTGTGAGGGGGTAACGATCCCAAGGCGAGATTCCCGACGTTGCGGGATTTCCAGCCATGATCGTAGTCGGAACTGACGCAGGAATGGCCTGAGTAACCTCATGCCAGATAATGCTCTTGAGGTACCTCATTCGTGCCAGCATCAATTTTCTTATCGACGCGCGGATCTAGTATTCCGAGGCGGGATCGTCTCGGACCGAATATCGAAAATCTTATCGAGAGCTTGAGGTCCATGAGCTGACCGGGATCCACGGCTATGAGGAGATTTCCTCGAGTGAGCGGAGACGAGCCCCATTACAGGGAGGTGGTCCCATGAAAACAGCGACTTTCGGCTCCGGTAGAAAACTTCATTCCTCGCTCCAATCCCTTCGCCCGCGAGCTCCTCGTCGTCTTCCGCAGGAAATGTTGTCCGCGATCCCTTACTGAGTCGACCTGCCTAACAATCATTATTATTAGACGAACGAACCCCGTCGTGCACGGATCGATGCCAACGGCATCGGCAGGGCTCCTTTCATAGCTTACTTGTCGACACCCTGCTCGCGGAGAACGCGCATTGCGGTCAAAACAGAGCCTCCTTAATTCTGATGCTCTCCGATACCCATGACCCACTGTCGGTCGCGTTTCGCTTATCGTGGACCTTCTCTGTGGTCTCTGCGAGATCGACTCGGGGGAGACTGGTCAGTTGGAACCCAAGGGTCTTTGCAATAGAACTACGTTCGCGACTGCCTCGGAGTAGGACCATTTTCGACGAGGAGAGTCAGGACGATACCGTAGATGCTTCGGAAATACCATCCTGAATGTGGAAGCGGGTCGGTACCACTCTCTGAATTTCGCGCCTCCGCGCACGGATCACAAGCCACAAGAATCGAAACATTCTCAGCGCATCTGATGCTGTACGCGCTGCTGTCTGCTAACGATTCCTGTTGTTGCTGCTGCAGAAGAGGTGCTCACAAAGTGTAGGTCCTGCGTGAAGGACGAATCGTTAGAAGTCAAAATGCACGGTTTGCTGAGAAAGATGACTCCTGTACTCCGACAGGGAGTGCGTGGGGTGAGATCCCACGTCGAACAAGTTCCCGGAGAGAAGTGAGTTTCATCAGAAGAAGGACGGGGAGCTTCTCGTAAATTCGGTCTATATGGCTCAGGAAGGAGATGTCACTAACGAATGAAGCTATAAAAAAGGATTTTGAAGTAGACTGTTATCCCTTTCAGACCCAGCGCCGCTGTGAAATTATTCGGTATCGGCGTTATCGGAGCGGGCTTCTTCGGAGGTCCAGCCTGGATTCTGGTCCACCTCCCGAACTACCGGGGAGAGGCATAAACACTGTTAAGACTTGTAGCGAATAGAAATGGGAGCAAAATAAACTTCGGATGAGCTGAGAGGTACAACAAGACGTCGTCGTCGTCGTGATTCGTGGAACTCACAGCGTTCCGTCCCCCTTGCATGAATCCGGGGACGTCTCGATGGGGTCCCGAGATGAGGTCGGACGCTCGCTTTCCGCGACTAGGTAATTCTGAAACTTCCTCGATCGCTTATCGCCCGCCGAGGATGGAATAGGAGAATTCCGAGAGACTGAACACGAACATAGGAGAAAATTTGAGTTTATTGGAGTTGAATACAATTGTTTAGATGCTAAAATTTGTTGTATACTAGACTTATTTGGTCTCAACCTAGATCTAGGAAGTTTCTTCTTTACACAAACCCGATTCGCAAAAACAGCTTGATCTTATCGAACTTTCGCTTTCTTCAATCATTGTTCTTCCCAACACCGTATGTCTCACGCAGCTTCACGCACAATCCCAAAGTTTTGGATTTTTCCACCTTAAAGTGATTTCGGACCACTTTCCCTCTCGATGCTCCCCTCAGTCACGCTTCTGAAAACTCTCCCATTCGTCTCTTCAGTACCTACCTGTTCTGCGATCGTATCAATTTATCTATCGACGCTCCACGGCAGTGATCCGAAGACATGAGGACATCCAAAGGAACATTATACATTATGACTCGCTGTTTCTGTTTAGTTTCTTCATTTTTTGATCCTCTCCTATCAGGCGAACTGTCTCTCTCACTATCGGACAGCGTATTCACAATGCTAGTAATCATCCGTATACACCGTAGAGGTTGTATTGTGAGCATGATCCTCTCGAATTCGAGGTACGGATTCGGGATCGTGGAGTAGCGATGCTCAAAAAATGATATGCTTTTCGTCGCACTCAATATAGGAAAGATGCCCATCCCAGCATGGGATACCCTGGCGAAATAAAGCAAAAGGCCCATTAGGCCTCACGATTGCTCCACACCGTCCCAGCTCCTCATAGCCTCTCGAACGGTGTAACTCAGAATTCCTCTCTCCTGTCCGGCATCTGGCTTGATGCCATCTAAATCGCAGATATTCCATGGTACACACTTCTATCGGGAAGTTGGCTTCGACAACGATCATGTCGGCCATCTCTTTGTTCTCCCGTCCATCAACCTTGCTCCTGCGTGATATTCGAGAGCCGACTATTTATCACAGAGCGTTGTATCAATTATTCTCTCCTATCCCATGGGTTGCTGAGATCAGTACTCTCTTCTGTTTCATCTTCAGCTCATCTCATCGAGCTAGGATTCACGGTCACCGTCATTTTGGCTGAACGAAGACAGCCATCACTGCACCGAGACCGTCTTGCCGCGCCAACGGAATCTCGGCAGGCCAACTTCGCCCATATAACAACAGGTTAAGATGAAAACGAATCACGAATAACCTAAAACAATAGCTGGCTGGTTTGTTTGTTTGTTTGTCTATCAGTGTGTCTGTCCGTCTCCGTTTCAGTCGTTATTTGTCACTTAGGTATTTTGTCGACTTACTCCTTCCTGCGATCTCTATCCTCCGCAGCGAAAGCGCACAGAGCCTCGACTTATTCACACTCGAAGACCCGTCCATTACCTAGAGCGATCTGGGACGGCTCGATACCTCTTAGAAAACTGGACCGATAGCTTTCGCTTAACGATTCCTCCCTAAAAATCAAGACTTAGGAAATACTTGTTCTCCGACAACCACTCCGAAGGAACTGGCACTCATCGGCAACGAATACTCGCCGCGAAGTCCGCCATCGGACGCTCACAAACATACATAGCCAACGAAGGACTAGCTTTGTCGGACTCGGAATCAGAGGCTCATTTTCCGCGCTTTTGCCTCCTGCTGTGCTTGTCGTATGGCATCTTTGTAGGGACCCCTCTTCCGTCGATTATACCGCAGTTTGAAATCTCGGAGGAACGGTGTCAGATGAGAGGTGAGAATTCTCGAGGAGGTAGATGAACCGAACCAAGAGACATGAGCTTCACCTGACTGCAGCTCGTTGGATGAAGCTTCGCAACCCAGAGACAGGATCTTGCCTAGAGCGAATGAACGATTAGAGCGACGATGGGTGAAGAACACGGAAGGGTTCCGAGATCTCCTCTCATAAGAATATCGATACACGGCAGCAAGGCTCCGTGTGCGATCCTCACCAGGCCACCAAGGGAAGCCCATGACCTTTCCCCACACGACGTCTCCTGTTTTCATCGTTTCATCGGAACTCCTGGTAGTTCTCTGGGTCACTCCACCCTGGACGTCCACAGCGGCCTTGGGGAAAATCGGCATTGGCTCTTCCCCGTCGCTATCACAACTGTCCTGCGATGGGTTTTTATGGCGTTTTTTCTTATGCTTAGCTGAAACAGGAGATGAGAAATCAAGTCAAATTCACGAACAAAGAACATTCTTGAATCGGAGGGAATAGCTGTCCAAGGACAGCGATCATAGACTCAGAAAATCGACAGCGCAAACGATCGCAAGGAGCAGGTACCTGTTTTGCGTTTGTGGTGCTTGTTAGTTTCGGAGTTCCCGGGAACGGCTGAAACCTCTCTCCTCCTCCTCTTCATCGCTTTTGGCTGATCATCTTGGTTTCCTTCTCGATCTCCTTCATCTGATGTAGTCTCTTCATAGTTCGCGACGGCAACTTTAGCTGGTATTTTCACAACGGTCCCTTTCCCTTGCGGGTTATTGAATGAGATTTTGATTATCGGACTTATGGCTGGCAGCAGACTCGAGTCGTGTTTCGTCGCCTTCCCATTATCGTCCATGACCTTCCTTTTCCGAAGCGCCGCATGCTCCTTCTCGGGTTCAGGCATTTGTGCACTACTTGGAAGCTCTTCTTTGATGAGCGCGTTCTCGGCGACAGATGCATAAACATCCGTCTGCGGAGTCTCTTCCGTCCACGGCGAAGGCGACATCTGTGAGGGAGTCGCGAGCGCAGGCTCGCTGCCACTGGCTGTGGGTTGGTCGAATTTCCTTTGCTCATTACCTCTGATCACTGAGACTAGGGGAGCCGTATTTTTTTTGGCGGAGGCACGACTCGTTGACGTCATATCCTCACATCTGTGGACGAACGAATTCCGTTAGAGGAGCAGATCCTCAACGGAGATGGCTTGAGGTATAGGAATGAAGGTAAAGGATGGGAACATGAAGTTTTAACGAGCGTATTAGAAACGACCTCCCGGAGTTGGACGTTCCGATGCTTACTTATTTTGGCAATTTGAACATAGAGTTTTTCGGGGCCTCAGCTTTCGCATTCGGACGTGTTGATCCACTTTCCGAGCTCTTTTGTCTTTGACGCCAGCTCCGCTCTTCAATCCTCCGTTGGATGGGGCTTCGTTCTCACGCGACGAAGCGACGTATGTGTGCCGCATTTTGAGAGCAAACATTGGTTCATCCTCAACAGCGGATTCGTCGGCTTTTGAGAACGGCGACGTACAGAACGGCTTAATAGATCTGCAAATGATGAACACTCAGTAAGAAAAATTCTCAGAAGCGCTGAAATTTGACACTCTCCCGAATCCTAGACCAAATCAGATCCGAATCAGATTCAAGATCCATGTGAACAGGGCGTCTAATCGCTATCGAGTTCTTTCGAAGCAACTCATCCAGATAGCGAGCGATGCGGAGTTGTCGAATGAGTAACACTCCACGAGTGACGCAGGCACCCGTAGAGACAAAAACCGCAAGAATCTACGAATTCCGATTCCACCGCAGTTTTATGACAATCAAAACCGACGCTCTTCGGACTCGGCTGCTCGAGACGGGGAACTTCCTTTCGGAACTTGTCTCTTCGCTCCTTGGTAGAACCGCCCGTTCTGAGAGGATTCCGGGGCAATCAGAGATAACGCGGAATGAGGAAGATGGGCAGAAGGACCTTTGGTAGTCGGAATGTAAGGCTCTGCCGGAGACGTGCGTCATTCAATCAATACAGTACATGTCGACCGCTATCATACGCACACTCAGGGCCCAGATCTTCACCTCCCACTCTGTCCCAATGTTATCATCGTGTTAATTTCATTCGGGAGTCGGAAGAAGAACTCTACAAGCTGATTTCTATTGATTAATGGCCATCAGCTGATCGTCTCGTACTTGCGGATTTAAATGACCGAAACTATGCTCGATTCGCCCATTTTGGAATTTAGCGGCGAAATAACGACGGAGTCCGTTTCCAGCAGCTATATGAGAATGTGGAAGAAGCTCGCAGCGACTTGATATTCGGAAACGAGAAAAAAAACAAGTCTTGTCCGTATGCTAAGCCTCGTCATTCGTCATGACTTCACCTGTTGGTAATATCCAGCAGAGCGCCTTGGTAAACTTTGGAGTTGAAGTCCAGAGAGACTACTATTACATCAACTAAGGCTTCTACAACCGTGACGGAAATCTTTGAGCCTTTTTGTAAATCCAAAGATTTCCGTCGATCCGCCATGGTGTTCGGGTGTCTTGTCTACTGCTCGAAGCACTCCACCACCACCACCACACTACACAATCTCAGACACACACACACCACACACACAGACGGTTTGTCGGACGACAATCGTCCACACGGTCAAAACAAGATGGCGGATGCCCGCGAGAGGAGAAAGCCATGGAGCAGGGAGGAGTTTTTTTTAAATCCGCCGAACCCGCGAGCCCGAGCTCCAGAGTCACACCGAGCTCCCGAAAAAACCGAGTCTACGACGGATAATTTCCATGGAAGGACCTGCGATCTCTCGCAATCGAGGCACTTGGAATTCACTCGTTGGGAATTCTTGGAGAGCTCTTCGGTTCGAAGAGTCAAGCGCTAGATAGGGCAGAGTTGCGTGAAGTCTCGGAGAGCTCAGAACCTGGAGAGTGGCGGCATTGGGTGTTATGAACAAGAAGCGACAAACCCTCGAGTCCTAAAAACAGAAATTATTGACTTCATCTTCGATGAATTTCTTTCTCAAAAACGATCCCATTCATAGTTCAGTCGCCGGTCCGATCAAACCGGATCGGAATTCCTCTTGAAGAACAATACTCTGTAGAGCGTTGCGGGCTCCATCCGAGCCTCGCTTCCAACCTTCTCCCATTAAGATGATCCATATTGTATGTAGAATCAGAGGGTCGACGGAATTACCGGGGTAACGAGAACAGTGGTATCGCTCGGGAATATTTCAGTCTTTCGTTGATTCGTTCCCGCCTCTGCAGCGTTCGGCACTTCCGAGCCGTTCTTGATTGAGTCGAGAAAGCCCCGAAAAAATGGAGTTCGAATCCTACTAAGACCAGGCAGTAAAGTGGCAAGGAGCATGGGCAGGGGAGAAAACTCCTGAAGGTTTTAGAAAGCGGAGGAAAGTCAGGAAATGAATCAGGAATGGGAGAACGGGTCGGAAGTAAGCGGTGAGGAGCTCTCGGAATGTATCTCCTTCGCGGGGCATTCCCGCCGCAACCCAACGTGCTTCACCTAACCTTCTCTTTATCTTATAAATTATTTTCATCGTGAGGATCTTCCAGCCGAATGCCTTGAAGCAGCTCAACTGAGGCTTCGATACCGCGTCGCTCGTGAGAAGCTCTCGACCGGATATATCGGAAGATTGCGGACCGCGCGCTGTGGAAGTTCCGCCCGACCGGCCTCCGTGTCCGGAATGCTATCATCAGGGAGATACGTCAAGGAGGAGAACCTCGTTCCGTCCTGAAATTGCGAGAGAATTTCGGCGCAAGTTGATCATTATCCGTCTGGAACCGGACAAGATAGAAGATGCCGACCAAATATGCTCTTCGTCCTTCACTATGCGAGCTCGGAGCCCAGGAAAAGAGGAGAGACATTCGGCTTGCTTGACTCGACTGCGTGACTTGTCGTCTCCCAAGCTCCCTAGGTACGGGAATACGAAGGGCTTGAGAGCAATCCGAGGAGTGAGCATTCGGAAGCCTTGCCTCACGACTGCGCGAGAAGTTATCGTGTTACGCCTCGAGACTAAGAGCTGAAATTTCCATAGGAGTCGCTATGGTTGGAATCTCCCTATTTCTTCCAAGGATCCAGATTCTGGACCCTTGAACGCATGCGCACTCTCTCTAAGAGCCTCCAATGATGGGCCGATTATTATGCCAGTTGGAGCTCAACAGACTTCACGGGACGCATATAGATATGCATCGATTGGAAGACAGAACTTGTTGACAGCGAGCTACATGAACGAGCCAATCCAGCGAGCCTCCGGCTCCACAGGTAGCCCCCATTGTTTGCGTGGAACCATCGGTCTCGTTTTGACAGTTCCGGTCCCTATCAGATTATGTTCACTCAAGAGAGAGTGGCAAGCGCGCGGAAATGTGCGGTGAGACGACCCTGCGCTCTCCCTTCTCCGCCGCTAGTCTGATCCCGTGAACGAATCAGCCGTTGATCAAGTTCACTAATTCACGGACGATAGAGCTCAAGTTTCTTCCTGACGATACGCGCAATCGAAATCAGTCACTCTCCTGTGTATCGAACGCGAACGTTTGTCGGAAAACGATGTGATCTGAACAGCTGATCATGTCAACACATAAGGTTAGTAGTAGGTAGGTGTCCACTACCACCGATGCTCCTGATCGGTTTGCGGTTTTGATCGCGTCGCACTTACTCACACCCACGTTGACTGCCTCACGCAATTCGTTTGAAACGTGAGGCGACACTGCAGAGAGGGTCGTCATGTATTTCCTTTCCACGGAAAGCGCTGCATCTCGTGTGTTGCTGTCAGTGACGACAATCCAAAGGGTGAAAGAGGCTTTTTCTCTCCGCGAAGTTCTGTTCAGAAAGCGTTAGCTCTCTTTTGGCAGCAGTCACTCAGTGACAGGCGGAATGACTGAAGTGGATGATAAACAGAGCGATCCCCATAGGCAAGATCTCAATGACGATGACCCGGACAAGGTAAGTTGGACATCTCCAAGGAATCAAGACAGCGCTGTCCTCCAATTGAGTTGATCGATCATTACAGAGAAAAAGCACGACGTTGTTTTTTATTGGTGATTTTTTTTACACAGAAGTCTCCCGTTCGTCGGAGCTCTGCTGTCCCGTGTTTGGAGCGTCGGCTTTGAATTGTTTAATCTGAGGGAGTTTTCCGTTGAGCGGTGCGTGGAGAGCAGAATTATTATTTATCTTAAAGTGTTTGGCGTAGCTTGGGGCCGCTGTCGAGTTACGCTCTGTACAATGAACGGGGTGAGCGCGGGATTAGAGCCCATCTCTCTGGTTCTTCCGTCACACGGTTGAGGAGGGAGCGCGCGATTCCATTCAGGCAGTTTGCTCTGGCTCGCAAACTGCCTGAAGCGGCGCCACGCAGAAGCCCGCTCGAAAACCTAAGAAAATCGTTGTCCAGAACAAAGTCGTTCCCTAACGCGATTCTGGCGAGTTGAACTTGTGATCCAGCGAAGGATGATCGAGCCTCACCGACTTGTCTACTCGAATGAAGACTTCGTGTTTCCGTACCCATGAAAACCATGGTCAAACTACAAGGGGAGGCGAGTCCTCGTATCGAAGCGCGAATCCATGTTTCTCCTAAATGTAAAGGGCTGTTGCGTGACGCTGTCGCTCACTGGAGCGAAATTACTTTCGCCTGCTTCCATTCAAGGCTTTACGTCGCGGAATGTGGGAATATTGAAATGTTGTCTCATTGATAGATCAGATGATTGATTGATCAGTCGACGCGGAAATGAGAGGCAGATTTCCGACGTCGGCCAGAGCACGGCCTGACGATCGGAGCAAATGGATTCGAGTCTCGGATCCTCATCGAAGCTCAAGTAGTTTTCAGAGTTCCGAGATATCGACAAGTACGACGACAATTTACTGAATGCGTACAGATGGCTCATCGACATTGGCCCGCAAATGTTGCCGCGCAGCAACTCCTGACAGCACGAAGCTAGATTGTCTCCCGGTTTCTCGAGAGTCAAACTCGCCCGGTATTCTCGGGATTATCCGCTAGCCTCTACTTCGGTGGAATTTCTTCCAAAAGAATATCCATCCCATCGCACACTCTTGCGCTCCCCGGAGAGTAGTATCGGACAGCCCTAGATTGCTCGAAAACGCCTTGACGACTTCTTCTCATTCAATTCCTCCAAAACACTCGGATACTGTAGCGATCGAGGGGCCTCAAATGGTTTCAATTTGAAAATAAGACAGGCACTCGCGCCTCCTACGACATTCTCATCGGTTTCGGGAATTACGCTTGATACACCGACAGATCACAACTCCTTCTCTAAGGCAGTATCAAGTTCCGGTATCCTCCCGGACTTGATGTCTTCTTTCGACCTTAATACTGTTCCGAGACCTCTGAATCTGAAATGAGACTGGCAATACATCACAATCAAAGCTTTAAGTGGGAGAATTGAAGGATTACCTCCTCAACCCAGGGTGGAGCCGGCGTACGAGCGAGAGGATCAGGATTAGGACTCCTTCCCGTTTGCTCGCATCCACGGAAGGCTTTTATATTGCCCCCGCGCTCAAATCGCCAAAATGCGGTCCGAGAGGGAGCCACAAATGAAGAAGGCATTGCCTAATGCGCGATATCCTTTTTGCCCGTATATCTGCCACTGAGGACGGCCGTATACCTGACCACTCGGAATTCCGTATGCGATTCCGGAAATCGACCGTGACCGATTGCCTAACTTTTCACGACGATGTACTCTGGTTGACCTGTCCGACATGGGGACATCGCACAGGGGTGTTTTCAGAGTAGATCAACGATCTCATACTGTGTCTGTTTAATCTCGACCCGAGCTACGGTTCATGGGTCCCCAAGAATTTTGATGATTGAGCATAGAGATCATGATTATGATATGGGTCTCGAAATGGGTGACCCTTAGCTCCGAGTAGTTGTGCGTTGCGTAGCGGTGGCTCGACCCGAAACGGAAAACTCTGCCATACAGTCGATTTCCGTTCGAACTGAGCGTATCCACCGAGAGAGTCTCGCCTTTCCGCGGCGTTCCATCATCTTTTGTGACAATCGGAAGTTTCTCCTGCCCTGGCTGCTTCTCAGAAAGGTGTGCGCTGCTGGTGTTGAGCTCTGCAACGTACCGATTCTCGAAGATATTCTCGGGTAGCAGTCGCTCCATCGGATAGTTGTTTTCTTCTGGAACTCTGTGACCAGATCTCAATTATGTGGAAGAGGAGGGCGCAGCTCAATCTCGAGCATTTCTCAACTGTGAGTTCAACCTATCCGTGGTGACGGCTCTGACCCAAGCTCTCTGCAAGTCTCTCAATATCCAGCCCTAGTGGCTTGGTCGCTCGACAAACGACCAGAACGAAGAGAACTCTCTGCGGCTCGGAAGAGGAGAATTTCGATCAAACAGAAGTCCTGTGGGCAATCAGTTCTCGGTCCAGCTGCTCGATCGCACTCGTAAACCTCATCTGAATTCTTATGACCATGTTTCGGAATGCTCAGCATTCGTCTGGCTCTAGCTATATCCCGATCGATTTCGATATGTATCGAAAAGGATAAACGTAGAACGCCAATGCTCGGAACTTCGGAGATACTCAAGGTCGGAGGGGTCAGCTGTCGGAACTCACTGCGAACTTCCACATTTTATGGGTCAATGCCATGCAGCCCTCATGTTGGCGGGCCTTGCACGGAGCTCATCGCAGTCGATGGTGGTTACGGATAATTTTTGGAGCCCGCTGAGCCAATTCACCGGATACTGTCTCAGAGACAGAGTATTGCCTTCTCGAGATCCTCTGAGCTTTTCACTCATCATTATCTGACTTACGCTCACGTCGCCGAAAGTCAGGGCAGGAGTGAGGTAGCCACAAGAGGAGCTTATTTTGAACCATTAGGTGCCTCGAGCTCACAGATAGGATAGCCTGCTTTTAAAGTTCATATAGGTGACAGACATCACACCAATACGAGATCCGTTGACCCACATTGGCAATGCCTGACAGACTCACTCACTCTCACAGATTTATTTGGGCAGACGTCTGGTTGCATTAGACCTGACTTTCCGGATATAGTTGAACCGTGATCTCTAGAGAACCGTCGATGTGGTTATGAAGTCACACAAGTTCAACGTGACCGTTTCGGTGAGTTCCAATCGGGAATTCCACGGGCTGCGCTTTGAAAATATCGATTGAAATTCGGGAACAGGCTCATCTGGCATGTTTAATGAATCCCAGAAGATGACGTCGGAACATGTAGAGCAAATGCGCGTCGCGAATCCTCATCCCAGTACCGCAGGATAACCATGGACGTGTTGAAGCGACGCAGCACTTCTATGGTAGGAGTGTTCTGCGAATAATCGGATTTCGATTCAATGAGATTCGAGCACATGATCAGTGAGCTACACGATTTTGATTCGATTTGATCGCAGTGCTCTGTCATGGGCTTCCACGTGACTTCGAGCGCCCCGGAAGAATTCGCGGATTAATCACCAGACGTGTCGAAAATTCGGAATTTTTCTCACGGTCGGAACCCTTTCTCTGGATACTTTCTGCGGCGATCCGTTGGAACGATTCTCAGTTGCGAAGATTCCGCGGCTTTTTCCAGGTCCCGTACGCCGGCAACTTTAGTTCCTCATTGTCAGTCAGTCGGTGAATTGGCCTGTCCATTCAGCTCGGTGGCAGCGATCATTCCGTCGTCCGGCGCTGATCGGGCTGACTTTCGGAAGCAAGCAACCACCATTGACCAAATTACTCCACGACAATCCGATAAGTCGATTCTGTGACGATGCCATGACTCGGTTCCGCAAAAGCTTTGCCCGAAGATGATTTCTCACGCTGCATCGATGAAGCTCATCGGTGACGCTCATTGTTCAGTCCTTGGGTTCCGATCCATACGATCTGAAGGAAGGTGCCTGGGGTGCGGTCCCGACTTTCGGAAACTGCTCCGTTTTATATTCCTCAGAATTAATCAGCAGCCTCGTTTCACTCGGAAGTAGAGCCTTAACTGAGAAGGGTGATCCACGGGGAGCCGATCGCATGGTTTCGGGGGTCTCGTGATTTTGCTGCAGGTTTTCGAATCGGAAATGAGTGAATGGCAGTCTCGGTGAATCATGAATATTGATTCAGCATATAATATTACATTCGTGTTAGCGAAACCCGCCGACTGCGGACGCTCCCGCCGAATGCGGCGGAAGAGTGCGACTCTTGATGAAAATTCCAGGAAGCGTTTTTTTTCGTTTTGAATAAATTAGCAAAGATGTTTCGGGTTGGGAATCTTTGCTGACGTCGACCGGGGCAGCCGTGCCAGGGTTCATATACGATGCGGCTGAATCAGAATCAGCGACGAAGCCAAATCGATCCGGATTTATTCGCGTACGCTCTGCATCGTTTGCCGATCGATCGGCATCCCCAAAATATGAGCTCCCGGGTCTAAACATGGAATTATGTGCTCCACAGGGTCGTAAGGGAACGTATCCCAAATCCGTTTTCTTCATCATCTGCACTGAATTCTGCGAGCGGTTCTCCTACTATGGAATGCGGAGTGAGTATATGAAAAGTTGATGATTATTTACAGCGAGAGCCTGGAAGTTGTAAAATCATAAAAGCCCGAGCAAGCATCTCTAATGCCGAGATTCCGCAACATTATTTTCCGAGAGCGCAGAAATCATTGCAGGTACGCATATCGGATTGTAACTTGAGTCTTTCATTCTTTTCCAGCGATTTTGTTCATCTATCTCTCCAAAATTCTTCTCTACTCAGAAGCTGATACGAAATCAATCTATCATGGTTTCACCATGGCCTGCTATTTCATGCCTCTATTGGGAGCCATCATTGCGGACTCGTATCTGGGGAAATACAAGTGAGCAGAAAGACGGCTATTAACGTAGCTGAACGATATCGAGAAAAATCATACCACCGCGCCGTAGCCGCCGGATATTAAGGAAAGGTGACGACTGTGCATCCGAACGCGATGCCGAAGAAAACGAAACCCTGAAGAAACTTTCGCTTAGTTAACCAACCGCCTCCTAAAGCTGAGGGCGGACGGGTGGACGGAGCGTCGCGAACCGCAGCCGGCGATCATGAAAGAAACGGTGTGGGTTACTTCGTTTACAACAACATCTCCGCTCGTTTGCGCAATCGGACAGTGTGGGGGCAGGATCGTTCCAAGGGTTGCGTTGCGTACAGCATGGTTGTACTTACTTCAAAGTGAATTGAGCCTGTATTATTTCGGACGAATTGCTTTCGTCAGTTCTGATGGATTCGTTGGGTCCGGGTGGCTCGGTACTTCATCACTCCAGCACGTCACGAACCGACCACGAGGACCACGACCAGCCAAACCTACTTCAATGGTGTGATGCCCAAATGACAGGGCTATACTTTCGAGTGGTCGAAAGCCTAACCCTAGTGCGGACGTACGATACCGCCGCGCGGCGGTCTGAAAGGATCTTCAGTGCGCTTTTACAACGCGCGCGCGCCGCAAGCTCCCGCTGCTATCTATTCATTCACGTGGACGGTCGAATTTGTTCCTATTTGCGGCTGTCACGTTTATTCTCCGGGCTGAAACTTCCGTGAATCGTGTATTTCTGTGAATTGGAATCTACAAGTCGAAGCGATCTCACAATGATCGAATAACGGTGTAGCCCTGCAATTGGAATTCGCCTGTCGAGAAGCGCTTCTTTGAATCCTGGAACTATGCGGGCGATCCCTGGACTTCGGCCTCTGCGGTACTAGGCCCTGTGGTGATCGTAAAACCAGTATAGTCTCAATGATCTCGTCATTACTCTGTGTCCCTCAGTGAGCACGTAATCGTGGGCTGATATTACGAAACTCGGTTGGAAGCATTAAATAGTTGTCGTGCATTGTTCCCGAAGCGAGGTGATCGCAAATGAAAAGCAATTGATTGAATGCCTGACACTTCCAAATTGAAACAAGATTGAATCTCTCTCATTCGCGGAACATTCTTTCTCGGGGATTCCCACGCTTGCCCTGAAACGTCTGGGCGGGCAAGTGATACTCGATCTGTGGTGATCTTCGAGTGCCGTTAATTCTTACAGCGCTCGGGATTCACGCCCGATCTCTGCCGATGGATTCAGAGCCGGGCTTCCCTTGGAAGAACACTTTCAATATCAACTTCAGCTCCAGATTTTGGACGAGCAATGAGGAAAGAACTGATTCGGAAACCTTCGCGTGCACTTTCGCATACACTGAAATGGGTCATAATCGGCGCACGAACGGTGAAGCTGCAACGTTAAAGTCGCATGTTACCGTATTAATACCGGCCCGCATCTACGTCGGCTTGGTGCTTCCACCTTCATGTGGATCCCAATTCATTTTCGGCAACTACTGCATAGCTGAATATCTGATCGAAGCAAGTCGCTACCTGCCTGATTTCGCGCCCCTCAATTCCCAGCGAAAATTGGCGAAACATTCTACGAGCTCAGATTTATGAAAAAGAATATGAGCTGAGCTCAGTTTCGTGATTTCCGAAAACCAGTCACTCGCCGATCGATAATCGCCAGTCACCTGCTCCAAGCTCGAGACACCGATTCTCAGCGCTACTTTCGCTGAGGGAAACTCCTTCTTTGAACGCTGTGCATATCCCTCTCCTTGATTTTGGGAATGTGGCCTCTTTGCAGAACAATTTTTTACATCTCCATCATTTACGCAATCGGGAACGGAGTACTGTCAGCCGGAGCTTTCGATCTCGGACCATATATGCAAAGGTACGTGGCGAGCCTCGTGGCACACATTACCTCAGTAGATCGATTCTCCATGCTATTCATTCTCTGCAGAAACTTATGGCGGATTTCATGCGGTCCGCGATCTCTATCCACCGGGACTTATGCATTTAACACATGTCTTCTCCGCGAACAGACTGCTCTCCATAACCGGACTCGCTCTGATCGCGTTGGGTACGGGGGGAATCAAGCCCTGCGTTGCTGCTTTCGGTGGAGATCAGTTCGTCAAAGGGCAGGAGATCTGGCTGGAGCAGTTCTTCTCATTTTTCTACATGTGTATAAACGCGGGATCTACTCTATCTACGGCTATTACTCCATTGTTGCGGGCGACACCGTGCAATGGCCAAGACAGCTGCTTCCCTTTAGCATTCGGAGTACCGGCCATATTGATGGTCGTTTCAGTTGGTGAGCTGAGTCTCTCTTTTCCGTAGCCTATGATGCGTACATTCGAGCGACATCCTGACTTAGGGGAGCCTGTGCTCAATCAGAGTAGGGGATGGTAGAATCCTGTGGCTGAAATTCGTTTTCTGTTTATCCCGTAGTGATATTCGTGAGCGGACGTCCGTACTATCGGTTGAACCCTCCCGGAGAGAACGTCATTGTGAAACTGGGGGGCTGCATTTCGAGAGCGATAGTGAACAACGTCAGGGGGAAGAACGGCAATAAAGCTCATTGGCTCGATCACGCAGATGACAAATATGACGTAAATATAATTTTTCTCTCCAATACCATTCAACGTGATGTATCTCCAAGAATTTCCATTGCAGCGATTTTATTCAGATATCCGTTGCTCTTCCCAGCAAAAGTTCATCGAAGACGTGAAAGCCGTCTGCCGAGTGATGCTGATTTTCATTCCTGTGCCGATTTTCTGGGCGTTATTCGACCAGCAGGGTTCGACTTGGACTTCACAGGCTACACAGATGCGCTGGTCCGTTCTCGGCGTCCCACTATTGCCGGAACAAATGCAATTGCTGAACCCGCTCCTAATTTTGATCCTCGCACCCTTGTTCAGTTACATTATCTATCCGGTTTTCCAGAAAATCGGTTTGCTCACAAAGTACGTCGATTTCCTGCGAAGTCTTCCTCAAGAATACGAATATTCCGGATTCATCATCCTTATCTGAGTGTATCGGAAGCCTCATTGAATAACCCGAATCGATCCTTCACGAAAGTGTCCGATTTCAGGCCGCTTCAGAAAATGGTCGTGGGAGGCCTGCTGGCATCGGCATCGTTCTTCGTGTGCATGCTGCTTCAAGTCGCGGTTGAGCAACAAGATGCGAACGCAATGACTCTCATCAACAGTGTACCATGCTCCTTAGAGATGAGCTATGTAATCAACGACCAGAAGGAAACGGGAATCCTGGCCGCGCGAGACTCCCTCAGAATTGCGAGACCGTGGCCAGAGGAGATCAATTTCAAGCCGCAGTGTCCAGAAGTGAAGGAGTTCAAGTACTCCCCTCCGAACTCGTACAGAGCAGCCCTCGAGAAAATAATCTCCAAAGCACCGGAGAGAGCAATCGTGACAGAGGTCGGTGTTTGCAATGTATTGTTTTCCCACCGTAGCGAATGAGAGATTCCTCGGAACTTCACAATCGGATTCCGATTATTCTAATGAATGATGATTACGCGAATTGCTCCTATCCCGCTGCAGATCCCCACCCTGGGAAAGGGAAACTACGCTGACGTCAAAGTATTCATCTTGGACAAGAATCTGAGCCTCGAACTCACTGATCACCTGAACAAGTCATACGATGTCGTAAGCGCAGAGTCGGAACAGCTCATATTCATGAGGGCAGAAGTTCCCGCCGTCGCCGGTCACAGGTAAGCAGTCCTCGCCGATTCCGGCTGTCGCTTGGCTCGTCGTTTCGCTCGAGTCTCGTCTTCCTTCTCTGTCAGGCTTCTCTTTGTGTAGTAAGGATAACCTACTCCTCGATTCGGAGGAGGATAGGGAAAAGACCGACCAGTTCTTCGATCGAGGGCCGAATTCCGATTGAGTTTCTATTTTCAAGCTACACCCTCTCCGCTGATGGAGTGAAATGTCCGACTGTCGGATTGGAGGTCGGCTATGGATACACCTTCATCATCGACGAAGATAATACATGCTCATTCAATGTCACTCGAGTGTCGCCGAACCTATCGCTCAGTTGGCAAGCGCCGCAATACATTCTGATCACTGCCGGTGAAGTCATGTTCTCCGTCACGGGTCTCGAGTTCTCTTACTCACAAGCGCCGAAGAGTATGAAATCGGTTTTGCAAGCAGGATGGCTCCTAACCGTCGCTGTCGGTAATCTTTTCGTAGTTATCGTAGCGAAGGTTGGTCTCCAGAAACAGGTATGGATGCCCACAAACATTCTTTCGACCGCATGGTAGGTCCACTGTAGGCCCGAATCGAACGCATCCAAATCATTCTTCTCTTTGCAGTCGACGGAATTCATGGTTTTCGGTTTCGCCATGCTCGGTGATATGATCTTCTTCGCCGTGCTAGCCTTCTTCTACAGACCTGTGAAACAATCGGATACCAGCGAAGATCACAATGAAATGTGTGATATCGAAAAAACCAATGCCTCAAAGGCCCCTCAAGCTTAGTGTTCCTCGACGCATTTGTGTTCATCCTCCTCTAGTCCGTTGTATCTTAAATTTCGGAAACGAAGAACGTCGTGACTTTATTCGTGAGCTAAGATTCCTTCGATCAATCCCGAAATCGAGCGCCCAAATCAGCCATTTCCAATAATGTACCCTCGTACTTTTACCCCCTCCCCAAGCACCGAAGCGAATCTTGGCTTGTATTTATTCGGAGTACGTGAATCGATGTCCATTATTAAGCCGTCTACCGCGGCTGTTTCCTAGATGAGCATCGGCTAGGTCCGTTTTCCACTGGACGCGAGCTCAAACGTGTGTTGAAATCTTCAAAAAGTCTCGTGAAGGAGCAATCAGCCCCAAGATTACCTGTAAATAGTTCCCTCTGAAGATTCCCAATGTCAGTCGATGTCACTGCTCGTCTGTCTGTCGAGACGGTCGTCTTTTACTCTAAAAATTCTGAGCTTGGTGCTTGTGTATCTTCTTGTTGGAACCGGCTTGGAGCATCAATCTCATTATCAGTGTAGACTATTACCATGTTCAATAGCATCGGTGAACCTGATTGAAGTTCACGATTGCTGAAATGTTCCAGGCCCACTGAAAAGACGCCACTCAGAGGCTCGTTGAAGGGATGGCGATCCTCGAAATGGTGATATACATACTGTATGAAATGATAATTATATTGACGGAAGCATAGTTTCCAAACGAATTTCCGGGAATTGTGGGAGGTTCGCCGGCATGGGATGAATCGACATGACAATGATGTTCAAGAAGTTTCTGCCAGCCGTTATAAAATAAAATTAGCCGGAACCAAAAATACCCGAGACCTGCTTTCCTAAGTCTCCGCATCCACGGACGATCGAGTTCATCAAATTGTCAGCTGGCTCGAATAGAATTCCTGGCGCCGGCGCCGCCGCTCAGGACAAGCAATAACAAACATAGGAACGAGGCTTGCTTAGGCGGCAAGCCTTGAGAAAGGAAATCTTACACAATCCGATTGTACTTCACGGCGCTTCCTGAGGTAAGGCTTATGGCGAGGTTTCTCTGACATGGATTGTGGCATCATAATGCAGTCGAGCCCGCGAAGAAGCGTAATAGGGTGCATGAGAGGACGTCGGACGAGAGCTTCCGATGTTTATTTCCTGTTCCCGAAACTCTGAACTCCTCCCTCAGAGACTTCGCCTATCGGGGACTGGTATACTAGAAAATAAGATTGCCTTCCCAATGTCCCAAGGATCACCCATAGAGGATCCTCCTAAACGCGGAAGTTCATGACCTTCAGAGCAGTCACTGTGGACGGCTCGACGGGGGATCACAGCTCTTATTTTTCGATCATATCTTGAAGACCTTGAGCTCCGGATCACCGCGCCTCCCGGGAGCTGAATGCATTATCACCGACAACGTTCTAACTCGGGCGGTCCGGGTATCATGAGACGGATCTCGCCCCTAAATAGTAATCCGGAGAGCCTAGATCTCTCCGGTTCACGATCGAGGGATTTGAGTCTGGCCGCTCACACTGGCATATAATATCGTGACGATCCGAGGAATGATTAGTGGTACACTAGAGACTGCTATTTACTCACACAATCGAGACGCGATAGAAGTTTCCCGGTCTTAGCGGTAGGAGCACGTGAATTCCTTACCTTGGGAAGTGCCCATCCACTGAAACTGTTTCCCGATTTCTCTATCCTCCAAGATCCGCCCGATGAATGAGGACCGCCCCTCCTCCCGGAGAATTTCGGTATACTTTTAGTTTCTAGATCCGAATTCGGCCCCCCAAGGCGCTCGTTTGTCGACCAGGTTGTCCGAGCGAAGCCGAATCCATCGAACCGAAGACACGACTTCATTGAAATGGTCCTACTTTAATGTACATCGTATATTCAATAAATAAATTCATTTATGTAATACAATAAATAGGTGATCACGTAATGATATCCTTCAGGAGGCGGCAATCTCCTGCTTGACGTCGTGATCAATGGGAGCGACGTAGCCCTTGCATACTGGTACGTCATGAGGCCAAGCGCAAAGATTATTCGCCGGATTGAAAACTGTTCCCGAAGGACATTCTTTGCGGAACGCATCGAGTCCATCGATACCCTGAACGCATTCATAGAAGACCCGACAATTCGTTTCGTCGCGGAACATTCCCTGGCTCTTGCATTTGTAGTTCTTATCCTTTCCTGCCGGAGCCCGTGTGGTCGGACTTCCTTGCCCAGTGCCCGGGGTGGTCGACGAGGTCGTCGAGGGTCTCGATGTGGTGGAACTTGATTGAGTAGAAGGGCTCATCGTCGAAGTTGAGGGGCGAGGCCACCACGTTTTCTCGGTGGTTGTAGTGGAAGCGGTCGAGCTCGGAGACGGCGTTGTTGAGGGACGGGGCCACCACGTTTTCTCGGTTGACGCCGTCGTTGGAGGAGCGGGCGTTGTCGGAGGTGCTGGTGGGGGTACTGGGAGTGACGGGGTTCCAGCTTCGGCGAACACGCGATTGATCGCCGAGAGCATCGGATAACGGTATCCGTGACAGGTCCCCTTGAAATCGTCGGTTTCGATGGACCAAACCATGCCACCTCCCAAGCCTAAAGTCTTGGCGAAGCGCGTTTTCACTTCGATCGACTCAATGTCATCATACCCGACCCACTGGCGCTCCTTATAGGCGTAGGGAGCCATGAAGTATGGATCACGTTCGACCGTCCAGCCGCCGCGTTTGAGGTCGGCGCAAATTTCGTTGTAACCGAGAGATCCAGGCTCTCGGGTGTAGGGCCCAGCCCGGCCCTTCTGGGGAGCTTCATCGCCGGGCTTGTGGTCTTCGGATCGTCGCAGGGTGAACGATCTCCCGTAGAGTCCCATGCCGAGAATGATTTTCTTGGCACAAGCTCCTTGTGAGATCCAGTAGTTCACTGAGTAATTCAAGTTCAAAATCTGTTCGTCGGCGGGCTCGTCGGGTCTGGAGAACATCGGAGCGTGATGACCGGCTTTCGTTTCCCATCCACCGTGGAAATCGTAAGCCATGACGTTGATGAGATCTAAGTATTTGGAAACCTGTGGGATATCGTAGGCTGGATCCATGAAATGCTTCCCAGCCGATACGGCGGCGGTCAGGAGGAGGTTGTCCGGTTTGAAGGCGTCCTTCAGTTCTCTCAGCAGAGCCACGAAATTACGCTTGTCCTCAGGTTTCCCACCCCTGGATGCGGGGTACTCCCAGTCCATATCGAGACCATCAAAGTTGTATTTTTTACAGAAGTCGAGAACCGAATCGATGAACACTCTGCAAAATTCGAATTTAAAACTCCATGTAATTCATGTTGTATTGGGTCGTTTTCTGCGCGAGGGCGAGAGGTTCATTTCGAAATCGGAGCCGACTCGAATGCTCCGTACTCACTTTCTCGAAGAGGCGTTCTCAGCCATCGAGGAATATTTCATCGAACCCTCGTTCCATCCACCGATGGCAATGATAGTCTTCAGTTTCGGGTTTTTCGCCTTCAATCCCGTGGTGAATCTCTCAAACGCTCCTTTGCCGTAGTTGTCCTTCAAATCGTTCCACGAATCCAGAGATTTGATCCGATTGTCATGACCCAGTCCGGCGAACCCGTAAATTAAATGAGTGCACACATTCGGGTCGATTTCTTCTACTGGGAATTTGCCGTTCTCCGGGCGATACACCGCCCAGGAGCCGTAGTAGCACACCACCTTGTAGTCATGACCGTCTGGAAAAATTTCACAAGGTTTCGACTGGGCGACGAAGAAATCACATGAGCTCCTGCTCGTAATTCGCGACACGGAAAGTCGGCGTAGACGTGGATACTGAGCAATTTCAGAGACGAAGAAAAAAATATCAGGCAATCTTACCAGTATTAACAGTTTTATAGACGAGAGGACTGGCGGCCAATCGAGCTACGCAAAGAGCGCTGACAAATAAACAGAGACGCATCTTCGAACAGCTATCGGTCTAATTTCTCGGGAACTGTCCGCTTTTATCCTGGGTCAACCCTTTCTTGCAGAGTTGCGGCCGCGGTTTTTCCTTCTTCCACTTGTTTCCCTTGCGACGTTCTTCTCACATCCAGTATACAGGTGGCGGCCACGATCTACACCCGGCACCAAAAAAGTCGGCAAGGCACTATATATGTTGTACCACAAAATCATATTCTGCGTAAACGACGGTTTCCATGATCGACGGTTCCGAGTCAAATGAATCGGGACGAGCTTCTGGTGTCTCCAGGGAAAGCGAAATTAGGAGCTTTCTCCCCCCTCCCCCCTGACCGACGCTGGAAACTCAAACATTCGTTTTTTACACGGGAAAAGGATCTGGTCCGGCTCCACGCGGAGAAAACTCTTGTGTGAATCTCCATGAGGGATTCCAGCGGATCGTGCTTCCTATCACGTTTGCGACTCTGTTACGCAGGATTTGCAACCGTCCTCATTAAATCCAAGCGGAAACTTTTCTAGGACGAATTGAATGCTGCCAGCTGAGTGATGAAAAAGAAAGGATCATTCTATCTAGGACAGACGCATAGAAAGTGTGAATCCATCTACTGACAGGGCGTTCTCCTGTTTTAAACGACCGCTCCCGCGGACAGCTAGGGTGAATGACATGGGTAGAGGAATAATTTCCAGAAACTCCGGTCGAACGTATGACGGAAGCCCCGACCGCTGTGCTGATTGCTTGCATCTCGGAGCCGGACTAAGTTGAAAAGCACAGAATATTTCGACGCTTCTGGATGATTCTGAGCGAAAGTAACCAAACGGCTTCAGTATCGCCGAGAAAACTGAAGCGACAGAAAATCGTCCCTCTGTCCATCGTTGAGACGGAAGTGTCGAGTATCAACAACTAATCTAATCGAAACAAAACTTTGCGCTTATCACGATGTCGCTTGCTCTACTCAGAAACTTCTCATTAATCCTCGTCTAAAAGCGATAAGGGATGTCAAAGTGTTTCTGACAGAAAGATACCTTCCCGTTATAGATATGTACTTGCATCCAATCGGGAACTCGTGGGGCTCGCCCTGATCATGTTGAAATGAGTTTCGATGGTGGGGAGTCAGAGACGGATCCTACCCGGTCCATCGATGGGTCAACTTCGCTGTCGGCGCCCGGATTCGAGACTCCTCGTCCCATCAGAGGGGAAATATTGTGTGCGAAGAAAACGAGGCCCTTCGATTACGCTTACTTTCAGACGTCGGATTCGGAAATGCGACAAGCACACCTTGGAATCACTCGGGCAGAACTCCGAATTATTTTACAATTTTGACTTGTGAATCGCTCGGGGACGGCTTTCGTTCGAACATTATACGTCAGACAAGCTTGAGTACTGATGTCACCAAAAAGACTTTCGAATGAAACCGAACTCGTAGGGGAATTTCTCCCATCCGAAAAAAGATTCCAAGGCTCCGAGAGAATCAGTCTCCAAGAGGGATTTCCACCAACGCGAAGAGTATCTCGGTGCCTCTCTTAATTTTGTGGAGCCAGGGCTCCTGACGTCCCGTTTTCAAAAACAGTCGGGATATTCCGCCACAACGGAATCAAGGAAGCTCTCCTTTGAAGATCATCGATTCAGATACACCATCGGACAGGACGCGAGCGTGAGCCGGGTGTGCGCATCGACTATTGGAAAAACACAGAAGTACAGAAGGCGCGTCGTTCCAGTAACCGCAACTTCTGCTCCGGGCGTCTTCGACAGGCCGAATGTCAGTCGAACGACTCTTCAGTCGCTTGAAAAACGGGTTTCGAGCTTCGGAATACTTTTCGGTTCCAAGAGGCAGCGTCAAGAGAGCTGTTATATAACGGTATTCGGACAACGGTCCCTCCCGCAGCGTTTCTGTGAGGCTCTACCGGTGGCACGTACTTTGTTCACAAGACGCCGGATTTCAAACTGCGCGGTGTCGACAATATTCCGGTCGCTCGAGACTCGAGAGACGTCAATCACACGACTCAACTCTAGGATATCAGATTCCGCTCGAAATGGAAAAGTGGAGACACCGCTCGGATCCGTCAATTGTTTTTATCGGAATGAGAACGTTTCGAGAGAGATATCAACTCCTTCGTTTCATCCCAGACAGGTCTCTTCCAGGTCAGATTTTACCCAAGCGTTCAGTCAGACACGCTTCGCAATGCTTTGGCATCATTGGGGAACTCTGTGATAAGAGGTTGTTGACAGCTGCAGGCCCTCCCTTCGATTTAGTAGAGGCCGCTGCAGGGTGAAAAATTGTGGCCGTGGATCCGTCCTCTCCTCCGAATACGGGGAACGGAGTGTCTCCGATTGTCGGGAGCACGTGGCTTCCCTCGGTCAGTGAGGGTGGAGGCCATGCCTCTCGCTCACCTAGTAATCAATAATAATTAGTGACCGGATTTCATTTCGATTTCGGGGGCGTCGCCCTTGGAGGAATTTTGACTATGCCCGATTTTTTATTATATAAATGGTTCATTGTCTCACCTGTCGACTGCGACCGATCTCAAACAAAGGCGCACGTCGAATTTTCCAGTTTTCATACCAAGGTGATGCTTTCGGGAGACGGGAATCTCCTGGAGCAAGATTCCTTTTCATCACCTGTAATGGGTGGCGCGACAATTGAGTCGCAGTGGCAGACTCAGGAAAAATGTGAGAAGTGATTCAAATTAGTGTGATAGCCACCACCTCTCTTAACAAGAGGCTACCTCTCTAATTTCCTATATTTTGACGATTTCGCTTTGGTACGCCGCTGTTCAGTCGGCAATCGTGACCGGAGCCAACTTCCTCCATTCTCAACGGTCTTGAACAGTCACCGCAAAGAGATTTCTCCCACGTCTGCAACCTTGTTCCTATTTCGCGACCGATCCGGCCCTAAATCGAGGATTGTCCTTGCTGTTGTCGAACGAGATGAGAAGCAGAAGCCAGAAAGACGGTCAATCTTTCAAGCTAACGAACTTAAGCATCACGAACGTCTCCCGTGTGAGGATTGCCATTTCCGCCTATTAACGAGTGCTAACAAGCTAATTTCCAATGATCCGGACATGACAAGCAACTCCAAGGGCTCAGCCTTTCGATACTGATTGGAGATGTACTCTTATTAGGCCCCATGAGCTTTCGAGCAATCTGTACGGCGCAGCGGAGCCCGCCCAAGTGCCAGTGAGCGGACGGGATAATTTGCGGACAACTAGAAATACGAAATCCTGGAGTCCAGCTCTTCGGCGGGCGGAAGGTAGTTGAACGACTCTAACCCGAGAATTCTTCAGGTCAGCGAACTCCGGGGGCAAAGCTTCCGAACGGAAAAAATACGTGCTCAGGTATCCTCAGTGACGCTGCTTTTTCGAGAAAGTCAGCTCGTGTTCCCGTTCGTTACCATTTCCGGTTGGGTTTTCAGAGCTAGAGAGCATCCGAATCGAGTTACTGGTGAATGAAGGAGACGTCGAACTATCTTTGGAAGGCTTCGAATCGCCGCCGCGAGAGCTTCGATCCGACTCTCGGGTTGTAAGCCAACACTGTACGCGACGCCACGGAAAAGGAACTTCGCATCCTGTAAGCGATTCTGATTTGATTTGAACCGAAACCCTTTGTGACGAGTCACAATAAAAAATGATGCCTCCCCCGAGCCTCGGCGCGACACTCGGAGACTCTCTCCGGGGTCGCATCAGCTCACGGGCGCCTGCTGCATCGGCTAACGAAGGTGGGTGCCGCATCCGACGCGTCAATGCCAATGAGCGTCAATGAGCAGGACGACAAGTTCGCCGACTACCTAAATTGATCCTCGGCTGCATTTTGCGAGCGCTGCCCACGCCTTCTCGGGTTCACTTATGGTGGAGATGCGTTCCTCGGAAATCTCTGCGAAGTTCATCCCAGGAGATTCGCCCAGCTTGCCCAGCTCGGCCGCTTCCAGACATCGTTTCATGATCCACTTTCCTGAGGTCAAGCACTCCACTCAACCTCGATCTCCAGCCCCCCTCGGCATCAGCCTCGGCGTCGTGTTCGTGATTATTTTTCCGAAATTATCTCCTCGGTGGAGAGAAATTCCTCGAGAAGAGTGACTCTGATCGAGGAAATCAGATTGAGATGAGGTGGCAGTCCACAAACCGACAGCCTCTCCGGCGTGGGACTGTCTGCGGAGCTCGGCGTCAGCTCAGAGATGCCGCGGCATTCTTTTTTGTCAAGTGTGGGCTTTGCTTTGGCTGATCATGACCTCAGGGCCCCCGCCAAGCTGCGATTCCGGAGTCCGCCAGGGTTTCCGTTAGGGATTCCGTCAGGGTTTCCGTCAGAGTACCTCTTGGGGTTCCTGTGAGGGAAATTTCTGCGATCATGGTTCCCTTGTCCGACAATGATCTCCGGGACTGCGTGGGCGGAGGAGGCGCCCTCCATAAATTCGTGGTCAATAGCTATGCAGTGATGTTTGTGCAACTAAACGCCTCGGATAATGAGAATATTTGACATGAAACCCCTTAGGGGCCTCAACTCGCGGGTACATTATGAGCAGGGGCTGGCTTCACAAGAATCAATATCGGAGTTTTAGACCTTGGTTTGATTCTACGGCTGAACCTCAAGCCGGAACGGTAGCCATTTCCATGCGAAAAGCACCAACGTGAAATTTCTTATATCCTTCGTCCGTTCCCAGTCACGACCCCGGCAGAGGCGTCGGGGCCTGTCTACCCCGTCGATTCCATCTGATAGTCGATGTATGTATAGGGTGGTGCCGGTCGATCTGATTGCTGCACTGACGTTCTACCGATACGCTTAACTAACTATAATTGTGAAGCAGGCTCACATTTGCAATCAAAACAGTTCATGGATGATATAAGTATGACACTATTTTATTCGGCATCAAACTCGATCTCAGCCTTCGTTCCAGGGCCACTAGATACTGTAACTAAGCCTGACGGGATCATGTCCACCGCAACGTCGATTACCGAGCTCGTTTCCTTGTTCCACCCAGAGATCCTTCACTCACTCCTCGATATGATAGAGCGGAAAATATGACTA